TGAATGAAGTGTTTTTTACCTCTCTTGGTGTGTGCAGAGATGTAGCTGGGGAGAGATGGGGCGTCCTTTGAGATCTAAGTGCAATTGAAATGTCTGTTTGTATTAAAATAACGCGTCGCAGTATTATTCCTGTTGGCGTTTTGATTTGGGGTGTGATAGTGTAATGGAGTTTCGATCCTGTCCATACCACAGTGATTACAGAACTTTTAGGGACCAATTCAGAACTAAACCAGGTCTAAATAAGGGCTATGGAAGTGTGCGTGTGAACCAGGGCTAAACAGGGATAAAAGCAGCTCTAAATCAGGACTAAACTGGGGATTCAAACCAGGTCTAAACCAGGTCAAATATAAAATTTACATGGCAAAGAAGACAACTGGGAGAGTTATTTACAAATTGATATTTTAAAAAGGTTGTCTTACTCTGAGGAGCAAACCAGACCCTGTTTTGTCATAACTACATGTAGATTGACAGACAAGAATAATAACTCAACTATTGGGACTCAGGAGGTGCGCTGTTTGCATGGTCTGCATATAGGAAGATCCTGACTTGGACTTGGAGCTCTGACATGGATTAACCAAGGGCAGATCAGGACTGAACAGGAATTAACCAGTTCGATCAGGGACTAAAGTTTAAATTTTGCAGTTTTCATTTGGTGTGAATCATGTTCCCATAAAACTCGAGCTCAAACAAACCGAACCAAGAGAAAATAGAATATACTCCTCTCCTGAGGTTAGGGTTAGGGTTAGCATTGCAAATAGTGCAGAAACGACGACAATGTAAAAACCCATTGACCAGAGCAAAGTCCCTACCTGATCTGTTACATGTTAACAAAAGTTAAAATACATCAGATTTTAACAATGTCTGGATTTCACATTTGGATTTTACAAATATATGGGATGTCTGTGCTGGACCATCACACTGGACCATCAGAGGACACAGACTGTTTATATTCTTTATGGACGTGACGGTTGCAGGATACGTCATGACAACTTTAAATTTCATTTCGACAACTCAAAATGAGCTCCCAGCAGCCTAAATCGATAGTGACTATCGATTCATGCTACCCCTTCAAAATAAGCGGCCTTATGTTTTTTCATTTACAGTTGTGTAGATCAAATAAAGCCAAACCCTGACCCTGACCTCCCCAGTTTGACAACATATTTCTTTGGAATAGAGACGCAGGTTTGATGCTGTTTGCTCACGGTGATCACACTTTATACCTCAGTTATGTCAAATCTAAACTCATTTATCTGAATATGTAGTTAGTTTCATTAGTTCATCAAATAAGGCTCCCACTACAAAAGAGAAAGACATGGAAACTCTGAAATCTTTATATTAGATAGTGTCAAATATAAAATATTTAACACTAATATCACAGGCTACAGTGTGAATTTCCTATTATAATACAGTGATATTTTATTTTTACAGCGCCTTTCCAAAGTCACAATGTTTTCTACACATGCAAACAAAATAAAATATGATGTAATGAAAATTATAACGATAAAATCAAATATTAAATCCAAACTATTCAATCATCTAACAAAGGTTTTCTGCTGCAAATCCTAACACCCACAAACATGTCGATGTTTAACTGGTCCAAACATAAAATAAAATCAATACACTTTTAAATGTGACTTGTTACTCCACTTCTGCCTCAGGAGCTCAAATCAACGGCATTTAAAGTGTAACAGTGCTTGTGGGTCATGAGCATGTGCAGTAGAGCTAGAGAGCTCAAATGACGGACGCTGGATCGAGACCGGTTAATGTTCACATGACAAGAAAACCACACTGGAGTCTGCTGCGTCACTGTTCACCAAATGAAACTGACGCTTTCACATCGAACCAAACTCCCACATGTTCTAAACTCAAGTCTGACCAGACCAAATGATGTGAGTGTGAAAACCCCCAAGACAAAACCAGGACTAAACCAGGACTAAACCAGGACTAGATCAGGACTAGACCAGGACTAGACCAGGACTAAACCAGAACTAGACCAGAACTAGACCAGGACTAAACTAGGACTAGACCAGGAATAAACCAGGACTAGACCAGGACTAAACCAGGACTAAACCAGGACTAGACCAGGACAAAACCAGGACTAGACCAGGACTAAACCAGGACTAGACCAGGAATAAACCAGAACTAGACCAGAACTAGACCAGGACTAAACCAGGACTAGACCAGGACTAGACCAGGACTAGACCAGGACTAAACCAGGACTAGACCAGGACTAGACCAGGACTAAACCAGGACTAGACCAGGACTAAACCAGGACTAGACCAGGAATAAACCAGGACTAAACCAGAACTAGACCAGAACTAGACCAGGACTAAACCAGGACTAGACCAGGACTAGACCAGGACTAAACCAGGACTAGACCAGGACTAAACCAGGACTAAACCAGGACTAGACCAGGACTAAATGAGGACTAAACCAGGACTAGACCAGGACTAAACCAGGACTACACTAGTTTTCTTTAAAATACTATTACAGTAGAAGTTGGGAGTCAAAGTCTTTGGTGAAATTAGTACTCATACCATCTGATTCGCAATCTAGAATTAATAAAAATTTGCAGACAAAACCTTAAATACTGCACAAATTCTAGTATATGAAAGAAAATATAAAATAATAATAATAATAATAATAATAATAATAATAATAATAATGGCTAGACTTAAGAAACATACTTACTCACAGTTGAAAAATGATACATTAACATTACAGAATACTTTAAAATATCCATGTAACAGTAAAAACGATAGCACATTTGGTAATACAATGTTCAAGCCGCTACTCCCCACTAGTACTAACCAGTCTAGCATAAGAGCACGAGCATGACAGGAGCAGAAAAACGCTGGTTGAAATGGCATTCTCCACAGCCTACCTGCCTGTGTTCTGATAACTAGCTCGCGGCGTGTGTTTTTTTTTCTTTCCGCCGTACATGCTAGCAGCTCGTCCGCACGTCAGACGGCGCGGGCAGAGCTAGCTTAAAGGTTATCCCAATAAGCAGTGCAGATCGCTCCAGTGTAGCAGAAACGTCGACGCGCTCGAGCCTGTTCGCTTTTTACACGAGCTGACACACGAGAGCAGGTGGGATGACAGGAGACAGCCGGAGAAAAGGCACGGCTGATAGGGATAGGCCGCGGAGAGTTGAGCGTTTCCAGGCACCTGAGAGGGAAAATACAGTCGGCTAAAAGAGACAGAGTTTGAATTCTAGAAAAGTTGTTTTATTTGACTGGTTGTTCGGTGGTTTATTCTGGATATGGGGAGGTATCTGCTTCAAACCTTGCCATTATTATTATACTACTTTATTATACAGTAGTTATTTATCTCTATTTTGTTTTGTTAGGGTGACCATATTTCCATTTGTGAACATCCGGACTAGGGATGGGCATGATTAATCGATTAATCGATAATTGATCATTCAGAATTTCATCGATTACGTTAATTTTAATCGACAAACCGAATGTAGGTTGCTGTGCGTCCAAACAGGGGTCCGTACATGTAGCTCTGCATTCAGAAGGAGCGAGCAAACACAAACATTCGGTCAGTCTGCAACGTACCGAAGCACAAACGCGTATTTAACGATGATTTGTACAAGAAATTCCACGCTTTTCGTTGGGTTCGGGACAAGTGTGAGTCCATGTGCACAGTGTATAAAGCAGCACATATGTTTCGGTGTCCAGTGGGAAAAAGCTTTACCAGGTGAGAGTCGCGCAATGTCGATGACGAGGCCGCACCTCCCTCCCCCCGTACGGTGTCCTGGTTTTGACAAACGCAAATATGGTCACACTAACCTGTATTTCACTGAATCATGTCTTTTAATCCGACAGAAATTGACCGCATCAGCGACACAAGAGCTGTAGTTTTATCTTCGCTGAGTTTATGCAAATTAGCGATGCGGTTTTAAGTTTTGTTTCTGTGAGAGTTGCGCAAAACTGAATTAAACACATTATAATGTCAAACGGGCTGATGTGGCTCTAGAGTCGTTACGGTTTATATGTCGTAAAGTTGAATTTATTTATGCAGATTAGTAGTGCAGATAGTAATAATAATGATGATCATTTTAATATAAAAACGTTAATGATTAGTCGATAATCGATCGTTAATTCTTCCGATGATCGATTAAGAAAATTTCATCGAATGCCCATCCCTAATCCGGACACCTTACCGGGGGTGGGAGGTGGGGCCTTGACATTGAGCTACACTTGTCCCTCACCTTTCGCAGTCTCGCCGTTTCACAGATTTTTTTTCTTTTTCTTTTTTTTTTTTGTGTCAATTTTGCATGTTTTTTTTTTTTTTTACACACGAGTGGGTCAGGATTAAACCAGGTCTAAACCAGGACTAATCTTGGACTTAAGAGAGAAAACACCGAGCAGTTTGTCCGCAAAGCGCGATCGGGCAATTGCCGCGTTTACCTCCGTGAGGCGCAGAGCTCTCCATTGGTCCTTTCTCCTGCGTCACCTCCAAGCCCGTCCCGGCAGTGAGTCCTGTTTCAGTTCTGGTTTAGTCCTGGTTTACTCCTGTTTTAGTCCTAGTTCAGTCCTGGTTTAGTCCTCCTCTTCAGTCCTGGAATCAGTCCTAGGTTAGTCCTGGGTTAGTCCTGGTTTAGTCTTGGTTCAGTCTGTGACGTAGGCAGCGCAAAAGTTTGATATAATCAAGGGGTTAACAGGCAGACGCGGTGTTGTACTGCGCGGGTGTGGTGTTGTACTGCGCGGGTGTGGTGTTGTACTGCGCGGGTGCTGGTGTTGTACTGCGCGGGTGCGGTGTCGTACTGCGCGGGTGTGGTGTTGTACTGCATGGGTGCGGTGCTGTACTGGGGGTCTCCAAAAATGGAGCGGTGCAGGACTCTGTGCTGTAGGACTCCATTACAGAATAAATGAATCTTCAGTTTGTTACATAAAAAGGGAGGAAAATAACAAAAGGACAACAGCAGCAATAAGTTTTAAGAAGGATGCAAAAAGATTTGTAACTGTCCTGTCTGAGAAAAGTGTATAAAGTGTGTGCTGAGGGGTTTTACAGCCTTAAAACAGATATAATCATTGTAAAATATAAAGCTGACTATTTTGCGGGTTATTTTTAGAACATAACCCCTGTGATAAACGAGGGAACACTGTACTCTCACTTTGTAAACTGTGCACATGGACTCCCACTTGTCCCGACCGGGATGGAAAACAGAGAATTTCTTGTCCAAGTCATTGTTAAATGTGCATTTGCACTTGGGCATGTTGCAGACTGACCGACTGTTTGTGTCTCACTCCTTCTGAGTCACAGAGCTACGATAGATGCTCAGTTTAATGCCCCCAATGAACGGAATGAAAACCCAAACATTTGCATCACTTTATATTAAAAAAAAAAAAAAAAAGGAAAACGGATGTTTGGTCACCCTAGTTTTGTAGATTATATATATATATATATATATATATATATATATATATATATATATTATAGATTGATAGATTTGTAGATCTGTGTTCACCAAATGATCAACTCTCAGCTGAGCTCATCTTACCTTTGGCGAAGACATTTGAATATTTCCTGCTCCAGTGATTGTATACTGCAGTGGGTTTTGACAGAAAGGGCATCTGGCATAAAACTAATTCTTGCTGACCAAAAAATAATATGTATGCAGCTCCCAGGCATTGGACAGATCAGGCAGATATCTCAGACTGAACACTACTGCCCCCATGTGGTGGTCTCTGGAGAAGCGAGTCCCGCGTGTGAGCCAATGTAAATGCCCCGTCCTCTCTGTTGATGGGCCATGCACCTCTCTTCCTGATTTCGATAGCCTCTTGTATCCATTTTGTACTTGTGCTCCTCTGTTTGCCCGAACATGATTCACAGATTATAGGTTTTTCTTGTGTTGACCATCAACAGAGAGACCAGTCAGCTGACACCTCTGACGCAGTCGAAGTAAACACCAAATCCTCTGACTGTGTGTGTGGTGTTTAAATAGCATCATCTAGTCATTTTACCTAGTCATTTTTGGCTTATACAATGATGCGGCTAATATATAGATGGGTTATTTGTTTATGGACACAGTTGATGCTCACAGCCTGAGTGTAGAAAGCACTGCTGTCTGTGTGGTGATATGAAGTTGCAACACTAACACTAAGTAGCGCTTTTGTCAGCACTAAAACTGTTTATCAGAGTGTGATAAAAGAAGTTCTGATGCTAAATGAACATTAGTGAGTGGGACACATCTTAATGAGGCATATGCGTTAAATGCAGGTCAGTGTGTAAATGATGAGAAGAAATGACTCAAACTTCAGTAGCCGAACATCCACTCATGGTTCCTTATGCAGGAAACATGCACAGCAGAGCGCCAAGTGACGTAGTCTGATAATCCTGTCGTAATCATGTCGTTTTACTGCCACGTAATTTAAAAAAAATTATTTATTCAATATTTGACCAGGTAAGTCAGTTGAGAACACTTTCTCATTTACAGTGACGACCTGACCAAGAGGCAGAATAAAACAAAACAAACAGGAAACACTCACACATAAACTCTAACATGAGTAGAGATATAAGACAGTGAAACATTTGCAGATTAAAGATAAAAAGTGTTAAAAACTTATCCTGTAAAATACTCCGGATGGAGTTTTTAAAAGTCGACAGAGGTAAAAACAAACTAAGTTTTAAAGTGTGTTGAAGGTGGTTCCAGTCACTGCTGCAGAAAACTGAAATAAGGAACGACCCAAAACTGTGAGGAATTTAGGAACGACCAGGGTTATGTATCTGTTGGAGCACAGCGTGTGTGTGTGTGTGTGTGTGTGTGTGTGTGTGCTGAGGTAGGACAGAGTTTTACCAATTAAACATTTATAAATGAACAGTAACCAGTGGGTTTGTGTGCGGGTGTGGAGAGACGGACACTTCACCAGAGACTAAAGTGTGTAATGATGGTGTTGAATGGTAAACACCTGTGACAAAGCAGATGGCTGCAGGATAAATAACATGGATCTTATGGAACCATAGTCAGTTAAGTCTCCATAGTCAATGATCGGGAGGACGGTAGTTTTGGCCAGAAGCTCTTTTGTGGCGCGTGTGAAACTGTTTATATGTCGATATAAGAAACTTATTCTTAGTGTGTCTTTAGTGAGCAGACTGTTAATGTGCCTTTCAAAATCAAATGAAGAATCAAGCCACACACCGAGGCACTTGTAATGATCGACAATTTGGATCTCTGAGCCATCCAAGGCCATCATTTTATATGAGCTCTTGGTCTGTGGAAGGTTTCTATTAAAGATCATACATGGTCTTTTTTGTGTTCAGTGTTCAGAAAAGGCACGCTGGAGTGATGTAAAACTATTTTCGAGCTGGGGCTAAAAGCACTGTTCAGAAAAAAAGCATGTACTACTACTACTACTACTAACACAAATACCAACCCAAAACATGCTGCACAGGTCAGTTAAATACAATCAATCCATGAACCTGCACACTGACGACAGTTGGAAATTTGCACTGGTGCTACAACCTGGTATAAAGCATCTCGTCTGTTAACATTAATGTACATTGACCACTGTCCCTGTCTCATTAACTAAACTAAATAACTAATCTAACTAGTGTTTAATTAAAAATAAATAAATAAATAAGTAAATAAATAAATAAACGTTCTGTGTAAATATCTCAAGTTACAATGTGAACATCTGTGGCTTATAGACAAGTGTGGCCTATGTATGTAAAAAAAAAAAAATAATAACTCTTATAAAATGTAGTTGATGCAGCTTATATTCAGGTGCACTTAATAGTCTGGAAATTACAGTAATTACTGTATTTTCCGCTCTTAAGCCTCCAACCCCATCAAAAAAACGACTGCACTCCCACAATCCAGAGAGCCACATACACGAATCACACACGGAGCAGAGAGCGCAGCCAGAAACAGACACACTCATCACTCCACGCCGACGAGGAACGGAACGGAGGAATGAACAGAAAAAGCGAGTGCAATGTGCCGCTTCTAGACACAACTGAACAACTGAGTCACTGCGAACACGCCGACAATCCGTTGGTCCCAGACAGCACCCTCCCTACACGCCACAACTGAACAAAGCCCAGAGTCACCGTGAATGCGACAAACAAAGTCCCACTGACCCATCCAACTGTTGTTTCATTTAAAGTCTATTAGTTTATTTGCTTTTTAGCCGTTTATTTGTGAAAAAAGTTTGAAAATAGACCATTCAATGACAGTGCGCTTTATAATCCAGAGCGCCGTATAGTGCGAAAATTCGTTATAGTGTACTGTCTATCATTAAAAAGAAAAATGACTCCTACTAAAATTAAACCTTTAAAAAATGTGGAAATTTACTTTTTACCACATTTTCCACACCTTCTTCTTTCTAGAACCTTCTATGGGTGATTCCGGTCACCTGGCTTCACTTATAGATCCACACTGGACTCTGTGGAGGGGCAGCTGTTTTTCATTAGAGCCACTGCCGCTCTGTGCACTCGGGGGACCCTACGTGACATTCACTGACTATCGGAATTCTTTGCTCTCCTCCGCTCACCTTATGAAAAGTTAATGTGCAGACTTTTCCACATCGATTCGCTCGAATAACAGAGCAGGAGGTACACGCGCTGGTGTGATGTGAGTACCTGGGTTTTATACAGTAACAAATATGCACAGAATAGTTAATAAAGTACAGCACAGAATAGAAAAATAAAGTCTACAATGAAATGAATGAAGGCTGGAACTCCATAGCCTGGCAAATATTGCTTTGTCAGGAAATATACAAACTCAACCCTGAAAGGTCAAAGGAGGCAAGATTGACTTTTTAAATGTTTTTGTAATATTTTAGTTAGTATAGCTTCATTCACATTTGTTTCATTAATCCTGTTGTCATGTGTGAGTCAGGTCAAGAAATCACTCAGAATTTTCCCAGGATTGTTATGTCACAGGTAGAGATCCTGCGCAGTTCAATCACCATCACCAGTCTTGTTCTGAGCATGTGCTATAATAACATGAAGGTCAGTGTGGCTTAAAGGGATAGTTTGGATTTTTTGACATCTGTATCTGTATGGCATCTCCGTGAGCAGTGTCGTGCATCAACACTGACTTACCCCCGACAGCGTCCGGTGATGCGTTTCGGTGCTGACGAAAGTAGTCCGGCAAGTTGGCTGGGGACCTTAAAATAAAGCGCTTTTCTTCTCAGAACAATCTGTGTTCAAAAGAGTGATACATTTGCATCACAAAACCATTGTCCTCAAAAAAGTCAGACCTCATAATCACTTGGCACTATTTTCTCTCCGTTCATATCACTGCACGCTGCCGCCAGGTGACAGCCGTGCATGGATCCATCACTATCTTCAGTTGTTTGCCAATGTTTACATGCGCAGACCGCCGCGATGTGAGAGAGCTAATGTGTGAGATAGAGCGATAAGTACATAAACTTGTATAAGATACATAAGAATATATCTAAAAAATGGTGCGGACTCTTGATTATCCAGGCTGTAACAACAAAAATCTGGCTGAATCTCCATGCACATTTCACCGTTTTCCTGTCATGGACTTTGCACTGAGGAAACTTTGGCTTCTTGCCTTTGGCACCCAGTAAGAACAAAGAGGTGCCGATATGTTTACAAGAGGACACGCTTAAGAATCAGCAGCAAATCACTCAGTGTCATATCACCAGTGAAGCGTCTACAAAACATAACTTTATAAGTCGACTTTTATTACTATTGTAAATGTCTCTTACACTATTGGCAGCAGCTACGTGGACGTGTGAATGATTCTATGTTTCTATTAGTCGTCCATGCTTCAGTCACAGTGGGGGCTCTATGTTCACTCTGTACGAGTTTCTAAATGACGTGATGGTGACTGTCACTCACTCGGTCTCTCACGGCTCCAGCTTCAACTTGTACCACTTCTCTGTCTCTCTTCTCTCTCTGCCCGTTCTAACTCCATCGGCATCAGTATATTCAGGTTCACAAAGATCTCCCCTTGGCTTTGTCAAAGCAATGTCTTTATTGTCGGTGTCTTAATCAGACATGTTGTCACTAACATTCAGAGCAGTAAACAAAGTGAACCAGGCTCGGTTGTCACCTGGCGACAAACGGAAAGGAAATAGTGCCAAGTGATTATGAGGTCTGACTTTTTAGGCGACGATGGTTTTGTGATGCAAATGTATCATTCTTTTGAACACATATTGTTTTGAGAAGAAAGACGCTTTATTAGACCCCAGCCAACTTGCCGGACTACTTTCATCAGCACCAAAAACGGCCAGTATCTCGGCTCACCGGACGCTGTCGGGGGTAAGTCAGTGTGGATGCACGACACTGCTGACGGGGATGACACACAGATTCATGTCAAAGACCCAAACTATCCCTTAAAGTCTTTTCATGTTTCATTTTCACTGCTGGACAGAAATTCAAGCAGAGAAGTGCCACATCGCAAAAGAATGTGTTTCCTATATAAGCATTATTATTATTTTAAGTTCTAAAACATGAGATGCCGTAAGGTACCCAGGGACATATTTAAAAGCAAACACAAAAATGCATCAAGCTAAATTTACTTAAAGTTACCTGATTTCATTTGCCTCAAAATTATCTCTCAAAAATGTATTGTACTCACTGTACTTACACAGCATTGTGTAGCCATTTTGGCACAAATAAAAGAATCCACTGCTTGAGCTAATAATAAAAGAACATATGAATGAAAGAAAACACAACTCCAAGTATGTTTTGAAGAGTTAACAACATTACAACATAACTTAAAGCTCACACGAGTCAATTCTGTGTAATGCAGGTCCTTTAAAGTGCAAAATCAACTTTTCAGAGCTTTCTACCTTCTAAGAGTGATGTGTGGGCCTTGTATTTGTCGCTGAAGAGTTTTTTTGGATAGATTTTTTTTTTTTTTTACAAATTGCAGTGTATTTCCGCCTTCCTCCCACGTGACAACGAACTAAAGCTGTTACAACGACGACGTGGCAACTACACCTAGGACACGTTTGACGTAGCGGAAAGCGCTTCACACCCGACCCCCGTCCCCCGCTCCACCGCCTCTGCACCGCCTCCACCCCCCATCGTCTGACAATTCCCACATAAACACCTAAACAAAAGTGACAGCATAAGCTCATTGTTCTACACTGCAGTGTACACGATATAATAAGTTTATCTACTAGTGTTTATTAATACTTTATCAATCAGTAATGTTCAGCTGACGTGGACGCGGTGCTTGAGCTTCGTCCTCGTCCGATTCCGGGTCCAACACATGCGGCTGAACGCGCTGTATCTCCATGATGAATAAAAGTTTATTCCTACCACTATCAGGGTGCACGTCTGTCTCCCCCTCCCTCCCTGAGATGGCGGAGGAAGGGCGGCTCACTCGTCGCCTACGTCACGTTTGGAGGGCGGAGCCTGTGCTTTCTCAGGACGGGAGGAGCAATAGTCGGCCTTTCATAGTTCCTGGTCTGTGACTGTCTCCAAGAAATCTGTAAGATTTCAGAACTATTGTGTAATGGACCAAAATTGTGCTTGTTTATGTGCAGAAGATACAATGTGAAAAGAGTTATTTTACATGAGATGGGCTCTTTAAAATGTAGTGTGGAATTCATTGACTGTATTTGACAAATCTTTCACTACTGTCAGCCAGAGATGTCATGAGATCAATAGAAACAGCTTCTGCAAATTTGGATGAGTGTAGGATGTAGAGGAAGAGAGTCCAATTTCTATATATGCTTGCCTTGAGTGGTGATTGGTTGTGAGTGGGCCCTGTTTGGCTGACAGACGGGTGAGCGGAGCCAAACGAACAGATAATGCAGTCTTCCTGGTTTGATTTCAGCTCGAGCTTCATTGATATCCATGACTTGCAGTGTTCCTTCTTTAAAGACAGTCCTCCACTCTATCCACACTCCTCCCTGTCTCATCTCTCGTTCATGGGCTTTCCCCCATCTCTGTAGCTCTCATCACTCTTAGTGTGCCAGCTTCAGTCGATACTCTTCTTTCAATGAGGCATCAAGAGACAGGGGAAGGAGGAAAATGATCACCAGGGCAGGGAAAAATCGGAATGTGGAATGAGTCAAGAAGCACTCAGTTAAAAACTATATTATCTGAGTAGATTCTCTTTTAGACCAAAGTTATGTTTGTTTAGATCCCTGACAGTTGGGACTGAAGTCTTCCTCAGAGTGCTCACGTGATGTTGCTGTGATGTGTCTGCTCAGCTGATTGCAAGAGATTTTGGAGCTGTTTTCTGACCAGTGGAGATAGGACGACAGCGCCATCTGCAGTCCAACTTCACCATGACAGTATCTCAGATGTGTGAGAGTAAAACAGCCCCCTCATCCAGATTTATAGTTCTGGTTTATAGTGCCTCCACCTGTAGGAAGACAAAACCTGTGTGGACAAAAAATATAGTAATTTAAAATGAAATGTAGTTGTTGTTTTTTTTTTTGTTTTTTTTATTTTAGTAGTAAACTAAAGTATGTATTCATTTATTCCTTTATTTTAGATGATGAGGTTTGTATGTGATCTTGTCTGACAAATACATTCAATTCCAATCAGTTTTATTCATTGATTTGTTCTATGAAGAAAAAGCAGCATCAAATTGAAAAATGTCAAACTCAATGTTGACACCAAGAAATAGATTTGATACTATTACTGATTCCAATACAACAATGATAATAAATTTTTTTTTTTAAATCTTTCTATAGACTATATAATATGACTTTTAGGGCCGGGCACGTTAACGCTTTAATTTAGCTTTAACTAATTAATTCATTATTGTCATAAATAATTTTAACGCCATTAAATCAGTTTTTATTATTATTTATTTTTCTTCAAGTTTGACATTTTTATTTTTTTTTTTACACTTTTTTCTCCTCCTAGACTCCTAGCTCCGGTTCACGGATCTTTCTCCTTCTTCCAGACACCCCTGAGGCGTCCAAATAGAGGTGTCCAGTGCATTTTTTATCATTGCAGTCTCCCTTATATTTACTATCACGGGAAGACAGAAGATGTCGTGAAATGATCCCACCCATAACTCAATGAAATCTGATTGAGATTGACAGTTGTTTTAGCCAAACTCATACCCACAGTGACTTGTATTGCACGGGCCTTTGTTCCAATCACCGAAGGTCCTGCAGGTGTTTATTTAGTTCAGTGCTGCAGGGGGAGTCACTGATTTACCCAGATACCACTGGAAGAAAAACTGTGATTGGTCCATTTCCATTTCATTATATTAACCCTTTGTTTCCCAAGAAATATTAGTCCTCATTTATAACAATGATCTAGAAATTATTACTACTGTAGTGTTTACTACTCACTGCATAAAAAATATTGAAAACATATATTAGTAGTACAAAAATTCTTCCAGTAGTTTTTTCTTGAGCTTTCAGAATACCTTGAAGGCTCTGAGTGTTCTCCTCTGAAAGAAATGCTGTTTACACAACAAATGTATGACTCTTTCATTTACATTTCCAATAAAAGTGCATTATATACTACTTTTTAATTCACATTTTTTCATTTGTTTTGTGTATGACATGCGATTAATCGTTATTAATCGCACTTAAACTCATGCAATTAAAGCGCTTAATTTTTTTATTTTTTTTTTTCCCAGCCCTAGTGATTTTCAACATTAAATCATAGTACATTGTTTTCATTTTCATTGTTCTGATAGAGCTCAAGATCATTCTAAAGACATTGAGGTTCATTTCTGTCCTGTCAATGGGACTTTTTAGTATCGATACCTGCTCAAATGAGTATCTTGTTTCAGTACTAGTTTTAGTATCAATTTGTATCTGAATTATGATGCTTTTGACAACTCTAGAGTAAATTAAAGTAGGACTAGAACAGGACTAAACCAAGTCTAAACCAGGACTTCACTGGGCTAAAGTCAGTGTTGAGCACCGCCTGTATCTCTTCCTCACAAATACAAATTATAACCATGGACAGTTTGCTCAAAGAACTTCATCTCTCAAGGACACTAATTACAGTTGTAACAAAATCCAAGAAAAAGTAGATAAAATATGTGAATATGCCAGTTAATGTGAATGAAGAGGGTTTTTTTTTAAGCAGCTGGAGTAAAGCGTGGGCTGACTCAGGCTACAGCAGCTGTTGCTGTTGATGAACTAAATTTGAGGGGAAATTATTTTTACCCAAGTTTTTGTGAATCCATCTTAATCTGTGAATATTTTTACTGCAAATACAAAGTTTGTTTTACGGAAGAAACACCTGTTCTCCCAAAGAAAAAAAAAATTACAACTTCGCATTCACTTAATCTTTGTTGTGGTTTTTGGCTCACACAGATGTGAAAAATTGATATTAAAATGTAGTGCAAAATTCCGATCCTTAGAGCTGGGGAAAAAAGAAATATCATAGTTGGTATTAAAAAATGTGCTTTTCATCGTCAAATCTGTAATGGTACATTAGTTGATCAGTGGAATGATCATGCACAGACATAGGTTGGTGGTTCAATCCCACCTCACACTAATGCAGACTAATGTTACAGTAATACCATTTCAAACTCCTTTATGAGACTAAGAAAAAAAACAACAATGTGAATTAGAGGTCTGCGCGGGACAGAAATATCAGTCCCGCTCCTGCACTGTGCAGTCCCTCTCCCACCCGCTCCCACAAAGAATTGTAATTTTCAGTCCCGCTCCCGCGCACATCTGCAATATTTTATTGCAAGTCATGGATAAGTCCTGGCTAAATGCTGTTTTAGTCTTGTTTTAGTCCTGGTTTTAGACCTGTTTTTAGATCTGGTTTAGTTCTGATTTAGTGGTGCAGAACGCACGACGTATGGGACGGGAGGACCCTCCCTGCGACGTACGGGAGGGGGGACTTTCTGCTGCTTAAAATGTTTTTATTAATGCCAAATAAAATCTCCAGCGCAAATGATGCATGATATTCTTACATTCATCATTTGTATATTTTACTTTACACTCATATTTAGTTTGCAGGACTGCAGTTTATCATCCGCCCGCACCCGCAGTGAGCTTTCAAAATGTGTTCCACACCACACTGTTTCCGAAGGCTTTGCAGGGCTCTAATGTGAATTTCCATACCATCATGATAATAAATATATGTAATTTTAAAAATTAAATACTGATAGCTTTCTATTTCCATTCTAGTTAGTACATTGTGTTTTTTTAATACTAAAATCATTCTGAAACTATCCATGAAAGGTTTGATTTTGTTTTGTTTATTTTTTTTGGTATCAGTTAGTATCTATGTACAGATTTTTTGACAACCATAATGCATTTTGCAGTTGTGTCCTTAGGCAAGACACTTGGTAACCCATTGCTCCAACTCATGTTTACAGAACATGATATTATTATCATTTTTAAAGAACACATATTATGCATCATTCACACTTCTCTTATTAATCCAGTCGTCTTCTCTGAGCACTTGAAAATGCCCGACTCGCATTTTCTGTATTGTTGCATCAGAGGTAAAACTCTGGACGCAGTTTTCAGTCCATAACCTTCACCAGACTATTTCTACGCAGTACATTTACTCACAACAGAGGAAGATCCAGTGCTTACAGGCCTCACTGGACACAGAGGAATGCAGATATTATTTTAAAGTTAGAAAATGTGAAACACTTATCCCAAAGTGACCAAAAGCATGTTTAAATGTAATTAAAGAAGAAGAAGAATCAATAATAATGCATAATATATGTTCTTTAAATAATAGATCATATTATTGCCCTATACAAGTAATTATAGACTGTATGAATATATTTCTAAGAGTTAAAAATACCAGCAGCTCTGTACTTATCCAGTTTTGAGTGGTCATTCTCTGTCATCTGCCTATGCCCCCAACTTTAAATCCTCCAAAACAACATTAGTCACGTCAAAGGGCTGCAGGCAAGGTTGTCCACCGTCCTCTGACTTTTTTTGACTAACTCCTGTGAATCACAACCAACTTTCAAACAACTTGTTTTTTTTTCCTATTTATCCTCTTACACAATCTTCACACACACATCCCCGCTTTGATTAGCTGCTATGATTAGCCGTTAGCAATAGGTTCAAAGCCTCCTAGCTACCCGGTGATTGCGCTAATATCTTGCGAATCACGTAATCTAATTGAGCCGAGTGAATTGAGTCTTGATGATATGAGAGAAGCAGAAAACTAATTGTGACAGGGTGACTAATGGGGGCGATATAAATGCGCGGGGAGTGTTAGCGAAGGGGAGGACTAGCATGAGAATCTGCTTAAGCTGTCAGTCAGAGAGAAGTGACTGCATTTGTTTGTTTGTTTTTTCTTAGTGTCGTGAGCATTAGCTTAGTGCTGCATCCATCCCCTGGTAGTTGAGTCAAGGCTTAACTCAGTTATTTTGCTGCAAGACTAGTTCAGATTTTATTATAACGACGACTGAAAATAGAAAAGATATGAGGATTGAAATGAGAGGAAATCAAAAAGATTAACCATTTTATTACATATAAAGATATGCTATGAAACTTTTTTTGTTTTGTTTTGTTTAATAAAGCATATCCCATCTGCTTGTCTCCGTAGAATTGTTATTGGTTTGTCTGGAATATTCCAGAGCCGGGGTCTCCAACCTGGAGCTCTGGAGTTAGCTCTCCACAGTACAAGTACAAGCAGCTTGCCAGAGGATTTCTGAATTATACAAACAGTTTTGAATAGGAGCGTGCAAAAATATCAAAATATTAATATATCATATCATTTAATGTGAAGATACAGTATTGATATCGTGCCCTGCTGTATCGATATACTGGCAAGAGTATTTTTTGGTTTATTTTACTAAATTACTTTGTTACAGCTACAGTTTTGTTGCTTGTTTAGAGGAAGGAAACTCCTTTATGCGACACATTTGACATTTTCACTGTTTTGAGGATTCAAATGGGTGTGGTTTGTATTCACTTTGCACAAAATGTGATTTTAGACTTTTAGTATCGCAGCAAAGATTTAACTGTTATTTTGTATTGAACTGTGTCAAATTGAAACTAAATGTATCATATCGTACTGAAAGAGCACTGTATTGTAATATGTATTGTATCAAGGTATGTATTATATCGACAGTTTCTTAATGAATCGAGCCCTAGTGCTGAATGACTCAGTTTGATGAACTACTCTTATAAATGTATCGTTTTAATGCCTAACTCAAGTGCACAATAAATAGATACAGGTTTGTATTTTATGGGAATCTAAATGTTCTCCATCAAACACCTGCTCAATTTTGACCACTAAAATGAGTAGCTCTTTGGCATTTTCTTTTTGTAAAGACAGTTCCCTGGAAGAAAAATGTTGGGGAGCCCTGTTCCACAGTGTAGCATTAAACATTGATCTTGCATTTCTTAAATTACAGATTTTAAACATGCATGAGCTGTAACTTGGTCTGGTAGCGTCACCAAGTCTCTGTGATGATGGACTTGTTTAAAGGTCCTGTATTACGCTAAACTGACTCTTGTGAACTTTAAGCCATGTTAGAATGTTAATACGTCATCAAAAACAGACATGAGTTGTGTTTTGTTTCATTCACACGTTTGAGTAATCCAGCATTATTAGTCTGTCTACATCTTGAAAGCTCAAAACACGCTGTTCCAACTTATGATGTCATGAGGTGGTAGTTTTCAAGTTAACAGCTCCTTATATCTTTTGTGCAGTAGAGATTGGCAATTCCAGGGCTGAAATCATCTAAATGATTCTAATGAAACCACCACTACATGACATCACAAGGTGGACTAGAGCATTCTCAACTTTGGAGATGTAAACAGACTGATATTATAGAATTACTCAAACATGTGTGAATGAAACAAAACACTACTCCAGGTCTGTATTTGATGACGTAACAACATTATAATGTGACTTAAAGCTCAAATTTGCAACTTTTTTATTTTTTCTCAAAAGCACTCCTTAGCAGTTACATGCACTCTTACATGACGTTTTGGTATTGACAGTTTAGTTAGAATATTTTATAATGTTCCCAGGAT